TAACACCCCCCCGGGGAATAAACGGGGTGGGCCTGCCTGTCGGCAGCAGTGGCAGTCGCCTCTTCTGCTCTCCAGCTCTGCCTGTCGGTCTGAGACCTCTGGCTTGAGCCTGCCCGTTCCTGCCCAGTCTCTGTTACCCAGCCCAGCAGACTTTGTCCTCTCTTCATGAAGCACCAGGGAGCAGAACGTGGACCAGAGCTGATACCAGTAGAGAGGAAAACATGGATAGAAGGAGACATCCCTTAAGCTACTGTGCTTTGGTCTGTAGCAAGCTTTCCTAAGGACAAAGAGTACTTTGGGGTGGCTGTTTCAGGACACAGAAGATAAACATCTGCAGTGACTTGTTCTGCTTACAAGTGAGAATACCCTGAGTGGAATCTCTCCATAAAACTCCTAGGATCAGATGCTTGCCATTAAATCAAACCTTGAGCACCTCCAGGCTGTAAAACAGGTTTGTCTTCATGGGAGAGAAGTTCTGGCATCTTGGCTAACCAAAGATGGAGAAAGGAAGTTAGGAATGCCACCTCTGCTTGAAATTTTAGGGAGAGGGAGATGTCACTCTGATCTTGTGACTCTGAGCTGTGTCTTCATGAAAGGCCAACATAGGTATCAAGGGCAAAATGCAAAAAGGAATGGTTCTGCTTCTTCACTCGCAGATGAGAGCCCTTCCAGGCTAGCAGCAAACCCAAAGATAAGAGCAGAGGGAAGATACGTATCAGGATATGAGCAGAGTAAACAGAGGTGTCTCTGGGGAGAGGCCATTACAGAAGTTCATTCATCCCAACTGAGCAAGCAGAGACTCGCAATACAGCTCGTTGCAAGGGTTGACCTGGCTCAGGGAATTGGCATTTTACCAGTTTTGATCCCTAAACCAAGACTGAACACCAGGCTATGCCACTTTTCAGGCTGTTTCTTATCTTCCAAAGAGAAGCTACGCTTTTTTGACTAATGCTTTGGAAAATGGGGCATCCACTTTGTAATCCCAATATAAGGAGGTTGGTGCTTCAGGTGGCAGCATCGGTGCTGGTCACAGCCTCACATCAGGACGTCACTTCAAGGAGTCCGTCAGCTCCCCCTCAGGTTAGAGGAACACGGTGTTACTGCTGATGATCTTAGGCAGACCTGTCAGCCCAGCCTGTTGAGAAGGTGTGCGAGACTTCCCACTGAAAGAGCCTGGCTGTAATTGTGTGCAATTCAGCTGCCTTTCCCAACCACGCAGGCTGAAATTTCAAAGACCAAACCTTTGCCTCAGGCAGAAGAGATTTTTATTTGATTTTGTTTTTCACAGGTAATTTCTGCAAAGTATGATCAATCTCTATTTTCAAAAAGAAGGAGGAGGAGGAAGACAAATCAGTTGTTTTACTTCCAAGCTTAAAAAGCTCTTGTGAACTTTCAGAGAACCCACACAGTACCCACACTTAGGAGCAACGGCTTCCAACTTTTTTAGTTTGCTCTAGTGTGTCAAAAATATGCCCAATGTCAACAACCCAAGTGTAGTCCAATTATGAGCCTTGGGGTGAAAAAATATTATTGGTGTCAGTGGATACGTGTTAGAGTTTGGCAGTTGAGAAGTGGTCAGCGTTGAGTATCTGCCCAAGGGCTGTCGGGGACCATGAGTAAGGTTTTTCCTCTGGTTCTTGATGACACTGGTCAAACAGCAGAGGTCTGTGCTATGGATCTCAGGCAACCAACCCCAGTGATAATAGATGGTGTATCAGGTTGGTATTAATCAACAGCTATTTTCCCCTGCATTCACAAAGCTGCTTCTCCACTTCCTAGGTTGTCTGCTGAGTGCTCTCCCGGTGCTTGGTTGGGTTAAGTGGTCCTGGCGTCCTTCTGACCTCCACTCCCTGTAGGAGACTTGGCCACCTCATCTTCTTGTGTGCTGCTTCTCCTTGGGGATTGGGTGGTGGTTCCAAGGGTGCCAAGCTCCTGTCGCACAGACAGCTCCCAGGCTAGCAGAGTGCTCCAGTAACATCTTAGGGCACGTCATATGTATGTTCACCCCACACTTGAGGTCCTATTTCCCATCTGCCTGGGGCCCTTGCAGACAGCCTGCAGGCAAGCTGTTCTTACCAAGGGTCTCAAGATGCCCTGCAAATTAAAATCTGTACGTGCTGCCTTAATCTTCCCCTCTTTGTCCTGTGGCTGTGAGGGGAAGCTGTTTATGTGAGATGCAGGGCCGGGGCTGCTGTAAATAGCTCTCTGCTTTGGTGAACCTGCTGTGTCAAAGAGGAGTGGCCTTGTGGCAGGTGACAAAGGCTAAGCCTGTGAGCAAAGATTAGACTGGCAACTGTGGATTATGGCATTTCTACCTGGACTCACCCTTAATTCTACCTGATTTAAAATAACATGTAGAGGCAGTGGCAATGACGAGTAGGGAAGGCTCATAGTGGGCCTGCCAGGTGGACCTGGAGGCGAGATGTTTGGCCCTTGAAGTCCTTGGGGAAGGTTGAAGGGTGTCGGCATACAGGTGAGTGGGCAGAAGGATAGGTGGTGTCCATGGGCTGGGCTGATGGGAAACTGGTGGAGAGAGGTGTGTGATGTGTAGGGAGATGGGGAGAGCAGGAGCATGGCAGAACGGAGCCGTAGAGCTGTGGATTGTGGGAGGGTGGATGGGGAAAAGAGCATAGTAGCTGGATAGATAAAATTAGTGAACAAATGCGTGGTAGAAACAATGAATTCTTAGAAGGCAAAGGAGTGGGTGGGAGAATAAGTGCAGACTAAGAGGATTTACTGACAGACTGGTAACAATGGATGAGGAGAAGGCTGAGATACTCAGCGACTTCTTTGCCTCAGTCTTCACTGCCATTCTCTCTTCCCACACCTCTCGAGGGGATAGACTGCAAGATGGGGACTGGAGGAACAAAGTCCCTCCCACTGTAAGACCCTCCCACTGTAAGAGAAGATCAGGTTTGAGACCACCTGAGGGACCTGAACATACACAAGTCTATGGGACCTGATGAGATGCATCCCAGAGTCCTGAGGGAACTGGATGATGTAGATGGATGCATCCCAGAGTCCTGAGGGAACTGGATGATGAAGGGGGGGAGCCACTCTCCATGACATTTGAAAAGTCATGGCAGTCTCTGGTGACTGGAAAAAGGGAAACATTGCACCCATTTTTAAAAAGGGTAGAAAGGAGGACCCTGGGAACTACTGACCTGTCAGCCTCGCTTCTGTGTCTGGGAAGATCATGGAGCAGATCCTCCTAGAAGCTATGCTAAGGCACATGGAGGACAGGGAGGTGATTCAAGACAGCCAGCATAGCTTCACCAAGGGCAAGTCCTGCCTGACCAACCTAGTGGACTTCTGTGATGGAGTGACTACACCAGTGGACAAGGGACGAGCTATGGATGTCGTCTATCTGGACTTCTGTAAGGCCTTTGACACAGTCTCCCATAACATCCTTCTCTCTAAATTGGAGAGATACGGATTTGATTGGTTGACTGTTGGGTGGATGAGGAATAAGTTGGATGGTTGCATCCAGAGGGTGGTGGTCAATGGCTCAGTGTCCAGATGGAGATCGGTGATGAGTGGTGTCCCTCAGGGGTCTGTATTGGGACCAGTACTGTTTAATATCTTCATCAGTGGCATAGACAGTGGCATGAATTGTACCCTCAGCAAGTTTGCATATGACACCAAGGTGAGTGGTGTGGTTGACATGCATGAGGGACGGGATGCCATCCAGAGGGACCTGGACAAGCTGGAGAAGTGGGCCCATGTGAACCTGATGAGGTTCAACAAGGCCAAGTGCAGGGTCCTGCACTTGGGGCAACCTCCGGTATCAGTACAGGCTGGGGGATGAAGCGATTGACAGCAGCCCTGCTGAGAAGGACTTGGGGTTACTGGTGAGTGAAAAGCCGGACATGAGCTGGCAATGTGCACTCACAGCCCAGAAGGCCAACTATATCCTGGGCTGCATCAAAAGATGTGTGGCCAGGGAGGTGATTCTGCCCCTCTACTCCACTCTCGTGAGACCCTACCTGCAGTACCGTGTCCAGCTCTGGAGCCTTCAGAGCAGGAAAGACATGGACCTGTTGGAGTGGGTCCAGAGGAGGGCCACAAAAATGATCAGAGGGGTGGAACACCTCTCCTATGAAGAAAGGCTGAGAGAGTTGGGGTTGTTCGGCCTGGAGAAGAGCAGGCTCAAGGGACACCTTATTGCAGCCTTCCAGTGCTTAAAGGGGACTTGTAAGAAAGATGGGGACAGACTTTTTAGCAGGGCCTGTTGCAATAGAACAAGAGCTAATGGTTTTAAACTAAAAGAGGGTAGATTTAGACTAGGTATAAGGAAGATATTTTTCACAATGAGTGTGGTGAAACACTGGCACAGGTTTCCCAGAGAGGTGGTAGATGCCCCATCCCTGGAAACATTCAAGGTCAGGTTGGACGGGGCTCTGAGCAACCTGATCAAGTTGCAGATGTCCCTGCTCATTGCAGGGGGGTTGGACTAGATGACCTTAAAAGGTCCCTTCCAACCCAAATTATGCTATGATTCTATGATTTCCACTACTCAGAGCCTTTGTACACAGGCACCTGCACCAAAACCATATCCCAATTTACACTCCACGTCGCCTCCCTGTGTGTCTGTGGGAAGCCACCCTTATTCCAGACTGCAACTGCTGTACATCGCGTTAGATCAGATGGATAAAAAGGCTCAATCTAAAAGTGTCCTGTTTTAAGTTAATCCTCAGAAATAAAATGAGACCGTCTCCCCAGTAAGTTCCCCAGGCAAGGCAGCGGGCTGGGAGCTCAGCAGAGCAGACAGGTGCCTGCGAAGAGCGGCTTGTCCTGCGCAAAGCTCAGCTCCTTTGTGCTGGTCCACAGAGACAGGGCTTGCCTTGACTTGTGTCCTGCCTCCCTCCTCTTCAGGTGTTCTCCATCGTGGTGTTCGGCTCCATTGTCAATGAAGGGTACGTGAACCGCCTGGACGAGACACAAGAGCACTGCATTTTCAACCGCAATCGCAATGCCTGCAACTATGGCATTACCGTGGGTGTCCTCGCCTTCCTCAGCTGCCTTCTTTACCTGGCTCTAGATGCCTACTTCCCGCAGATCAGCAGCGTCAAGGACCGCAAGAAGGCAGTGCTCTCGGACATCGGAGTCTCGGGTGAGCTTCCTGGCTGGTTGGCCATAGTGCCCCTCTCCTCCGCTGCGAAGGGAGAGGAAGGGAGCTTCTGCTGCCTTTGCAGGCCAGGTTCCTGCTAGCAGGGAGGTTTTTGGGTTCCTTACTCTCTCAGGCCTTCTATCTCTCTCTCCTTTTCTTTCCCTTTCTCTTCTCAGCCAGTCTGGCTGATGCCCCTCTGCTGTTCTCCATAGACTTAGCTCAAGCAGCCCTTTAGGCTCAGCAGGTCTTGCCTCCCTGCATGCTTGCACTTGCTAAGGCCAAGTGTGGATGCCTCTGGAGATGGTACTTCCTTCTTTTCCAGCTCCAGGTGATGGAACCCTGAAGATATTTTAACATAAAAAGATGTTGAGGATTTCATGCAGGCTGACTAAACCAGTCCTCCTAGGTTACCTGGCATTCCCCACATGAATAGCTGTGCAGGACCTCATCTAGTCCTGAAGCTTACTCTAACTTACAGTCAGATCGCTCCATCCCCAGCGGTGTGTGTAAGGGACACGGGTAAAGCCGGTCAGCAGCAGCGTGAGGAGGCGCTTTGCTCTCGTGCAGTGACCCTGAATCACTCTCTTGGCTTACTCTGGCCATACTGGCAAACTTCTCCACCTCAGGGTCCCCCCCGAGTTTGCCAAAGGGGCCACGAGTAGAGCGAGAGCTGGATCAGGTGCAGCATCTGAACTTCTTTAGGAGTTCTGGCTTGCAAGTTTCTTCACAGTTACCCCCTTGCCAAGCAGTCCTGTGTACAGCTAACAAGAGAAGGAGAAGGGGAAGGACTGAGCCCTGTTTTACTGCCACTTAGGAATGCCCATTTCCCTCGCTGCCAGGTATCCGGCTGCGCCCGGCAGAGAGGGTGAGTCCCACTGCTCCCCACCAGGTGCTAGTCTGGAATGGGGGCTTCCCCCTACCTTCACCCCTTCCCCGGGGGTGCGGCATGTTAATGGTGCTACAGCACCTTTCCTCGGTGTGAGTCCCTTAGCCTGTGCTGTCCTAAGCAAAGGCCAGTCTCTGTGCAACTGCAGGCCAGCTGCTTCCCACTCTCCTGCAGCTCCCTTGGACGGAATTGCTCTTCGCTTGTCCTTGCAGGACAGGGTTGCAAAGCAGTTGCTCTTTCAGAGAGTCCAGGTGATTGCTCCTGTAACTGGAAGCCCTTCAGGTTCTCTCCCAAGGCCAAATGCAAGTCCCGTGATCAATCCAAACACAAGCAAATGAACTCTCCTGAGGTACTTTCTGCAGACACCTATTGTCACCTTGACAATTTTGCTGTTGGCGAGCCTGCCAGCTCACTTACGCTTAGACAGGCTATGCCATCAGAGTTTGGCCCAGTCTGCAACACACTGGTGGGGGTCTCATAGGGTTGAAGTTTCCAGAGAAACTTAATGTGTTTATGTTCTGTTCACACATACCTTCTTGATCTCTCTCCCCTTCCACTTTTGCATGCTGCTGGTGGTCCAATCCAGCCTTTTGGGCGTTCCTGTGGTTCGTTGGCTTCTGCTTTCTGACCAACCAGTGGCAAGCTTCAAAAGAAGAGGACAACCCAATGAATGAGGGAGGGGATGCAGCCCGAGCAGCCATCACGTTCTCGTTCTTCTCCATTTTTACCTGGGTGAGTAAAGCAGCAGTGATGTTTGATCAAGTGTCCTCTGTGGTGTATTAGCTTGTGGGGAATGGAAGGTGACTGGCTAGGAGTGATTCTCTCTGAGATCTCAGTTCACATGGCTTCTGAGAAGGAAGAGCAGAAGGGGAGGTGGTTAGGAGGTAAACTTGGGAAACAAGGACTGAAAACTTTTGTGGAAGAAGGTACTAGAGTATTAATAAGCCTGATGGGAAAGTGGGTCCTGTATCCCAGTGAGGAGTTTCCTTGACAAACCTCTAATATGACCTTGGACAAGCCAGCACCCCAAGCATCCTTCTCCCTGTGCATCAGAAGAGTTGAACAGCATTTTCACTTCACAGTGCTGAGCAGAGAAGGGAGCTCCAGGCTGGAGGTGCACCCGTCTCCCTCCCTGCTTTGCTCCCATCACGTGAAATGTCATTAGTGGCCACAAGAGGCTGCGATCGTCGTCCCTCTGGGCTCCCCCTCTGCACCCACGACTGCAGCTCCATCTCACTGGGTCACCTTTTAGGAAGGTGATGGTGCAGTCTTTTAAAACTGCCCTTTCCCCAGCAGTTCCTTATTCCTAGTTTCCTGGAAAAACTACGGTGTGCAATATAAATATCCCACCCAGTTTCCTCCAGTCTCTGAAAGCGCCAAGTCCGAGTGATTTTTGTCTGATGTGATAGGATAGTGCCAAGCAATAAGGCATTTTAGGCCAGTCTCCATGCGTAAGTCCTTGTGGCTTTATCTTCTCCTCTCCTTACAGGCATTAACATGGGGTGGGGGGACAAGTAGGAAGGGTGCCGTAAGACCACGAAGCTGTTATAGAGAGGAGGGGGGATGCAATGGGTTGTATGGTCAGCAGGCTTGCCAAGGTGTTACCAACTGGGGGCAAGGGACAGCAGCGTGTGTGTCCCCTCACGAGAGGTGTCCTGCTCTCAAGCGCTGCTGAAGGCCCCTCACAAGCTCCAGCAGAAAGTGTGACGAGGAGCGAGGCTTTTGCAAAGGGCCGCCCAGGACCCTTTTTGAGGTGCCACCACCTGCAGTGGTCCTCCTTGATGCACAGGCTTGCGAGTTCCTTCGGGTTTTTATTTCAGTCAAATGCTCTGGTTTGCTCTTCCTTACTGGTTCTCCTCCCCACACCCCTCTCTCTCCTCACAGGGCTTTCTCACATTTCTGGCTTTCCGGAGACTCAGAGACATTACTTTTCAGGAAGAATACAACACCCTGTTCCCTAACTCCCCATCCTTGCTGCCTTAGTGCCCCTCGCTGATGGGTGAATTTGGGGGAAGAGGTGGAGGGATGCAGCTGGAGGAGGATACTGAGCACAGACGGTTCCAACGCCCTGACCACGGCTGTCCATGTGTGATCACGGCAGAGCATGGGGTGGGAAGAGATGGGCCATTGAACCAGAGTGGGCTAGGTTGTCCACTGAACAGGGAATCTCCCTCTGGGGAGTTGGAACAGGCAATTTCTCCTCCTCCTCCTCTGCCTCCTTCTCTCCCTCACCCGCACCCTGACTAATGCTGTGTAACACTGCTGTGCCTTTCTTTTGGCAACTGCTCAGCCCTAATCCTTCAGCCAGGAGATGCCCTCTGCCTCCACCACTGTATCTCCTCCATTTCGCCCAGCCCTTATTCCCCAAAAACCTCTAACCTGTCACCTGCTAGATCACTTCCCTCTATCAGGGATGCTCGGGGACGACGAGCCGTGCCTGCTGGGGTCCTTGATGCTGAACCCCGTGCCTGGGCTCTCTCAGTCCACCAAAGGGCATCCTGCCTGCAGTGCCTGGGGCAGCAGGCAGCAGTACGCTTGCTGACTGTCCCCTGGTCTGGGAAGCAGCGGTCTCGCCTCCTGCTGCTCCTTCCCAAGGTCTGCGCTGCACCAGGCAGATGTTGGCCAGTGAAGGGGTTACGGGGGGAGACCACTACCTCGCTACTCCAGGTCAAACCCTGCTCTCCTTCCTGGCCTCTGCAGGCAAAATGGCTGCGTGCATCCAGCCCTGCAGACGAACCTGCGGTGGAGCTGAGGCAGATTGTCTCTCCCAGGGGCAGGAGCGTCCGAACGGGATAACCACAGGCTGTCTGAGCCGCTGCGACCTGCGCCATGTCGGTGCGACGCCAGCGCCGGGCTGGAGGTGCCCAGCACATGCCAGAGGCAGCAGGGAGCTCCGGCAGGCTGCGCGCAGCCATCGGGGCCCACAGCCGTCCCTGC